CATATATATATATATATATATATACACACACATTTATTGTCGGAAAAAAAACTTAGCACTTGATAAAGATTAAGATATATTACAATAACACATTACCTTATGTGCTATAATATGAAAACTTTTATGTGGACTGTTCATTTTTATCTGATTCTTTGAGTTAAAGTTTTATATTTTATAAACACAGCTACTCAATTACCAATAGGTCACCTGCATATTTACAATAAAATATTGGTTAGAAACAGAGAAACGTATATTTGCATTAATACAAATCATCACATTAGATACACTAGAAAACACCCGAAACTTAGTTTGCACGTATTTTTTATAGTCAGATATACTGTTGACATATGCGTCATGCGTCAGAAACTATCTGTAAAACTGATAAGTTAAAAAAAATGAAAAAGACGTTTCTGATATTTAATCACACTGTAATGGCTATCATCACGAATCCTAATTATTACATAACTCAATTTAGAGACCCACTGAATTAAAAACTTGTAAAAGTATACTTTAATTAGGGCTATATTATCAATTCAGTAAGCATACAAATAAACAGACGGTTGCCGGATTTTTACTTATGTTCAGAGCCGGCCTTTAGGTAAAATTTTGGCTGGCGCGAACTTTGTATTAGGCACCTCTGCCTCTGAAAAACTGACGAGAATTTCTAATTGTAATGTCGATTTTGGTTTCCCTTGAAGTGGACGCCTTGTGCGGAGTCACACATCGCCCACCCCAAGGGCCGGCCCTGCTTGTTTTATACTCTCAAACACCTTTTATTATTATTATTGTACAAATTGCTGAACATACGATCCAATTACATTTCGTGTTTTAGTGTTATCCTAATGGCATAGATTAACGTACACAGTCTATGTTCATAAAAATAGTTCACTTAATGATATTGTGAAACATTCAAACAAAAATTAACAGAAAAAATAATTATGGGAATGTATTGTAACTAAAAGTATTTTCCATGTTTTTTCGCTGCTATTTCTGTTTAAAGTGAAATACAGTGTTTATTTAATGCATGACGTTTGTCAAAGGTGATTGTTGCTAGGATACTTGATGACAGCTGCGTAAAAGTACGTGGCACTTTGCACATGCTTGGATAAAGATCTGACTTTTACTGCACTCACATGACTTACCGATAAATCCAGGGGTTAAAATATTTCATTATCAAGTACATTATTTTCAAATAGCACAAAATACATTCGCTATTATCGAGATAGTGCAATTAGACTAAAATACGCCCCATCTTTAAGCTTACCATTTTTCTTATATACTATAATAATTATAATCTACTTCGTATTCTTTACGTTTGTTTTCAGATATTTACGCAAAGAGCTATCTGCGATAACTCCATAATTTTGAACTTATAAGCTCGAGAGAAGGCTGCTAGTTAACAGCACCAACCACTAATTCTTGGGTTACTCTCGTCTGACCAAGTATTAAGATTCTTTCGTCATGCTAATAACGCAACCACAGCCTCAAATTGGGAAGTGCGATTTTTTTGAAGGGCACACAAAGTTAATTTCAAAGTATTAAGTGCATATATTATACACAGTGTGCTTAACGTTCATAAAAATAAAACATCCAATCAGACAATCTACATCAAATGTTGACACTTAAATAAAAATTCTCTAGATTTTCCACTCAAAGCCTTCAAGATTACACAAGCAATGAATTAACGGTTAAAAGCAGTTTTGAGTTTCCACGATCTGGCAGAATTTAAAGTTTCACTGTGTGTATGTGGCGAGGGAGAGTTGGAAACGAATCAAACTTGTCAGAAGTGCACCCGTGAAAACTAGAGAATTCGGGGCCATGATCCCTCGAAATTACAGTGGTGAATGGTAACGTGGTTCTATTTTGATTCAGTGGTTACCAAGATATGATGTAAATCAGGGAAATACAAGCAAAACTAATGTGAAAATAAATTGTTGAATGATTTATCTACATGGCGTTTTATTAAGAGCCTCAACCTGTTTATCTTTTCGACTTTTGTTTCCAGCTGCCACATCTATTTTAGAATCTTCATCTGTTTGTAGTGAGTCATTATTATGGACCAAAAAATTGAACTCAAGTTGTGGAAATCGCAAAGCCTATAGTTACTTATAAATAACTATATTTATTCTGTTTGCTTTTTGCTTTTTCCAAGTACAAATCCTAGTTGAAAGTACGATTATCTTCTTATTAAAATATAAAAATATGAAATCCTATAACTCGAGTGCTTTCGAAAGGTACACCTTTCTTCATCAAGAACAAACTTTCTCAATTCACTGCTTCTTCTGATCCACTGAGATCCTTAGAGAAACACTAAACTCCCATTTAATGCACCACGGTTCTCTTTTCTCCTCCGAAACCGCTTAGCTTATATCACATAATTTCATGCTTCGTGAAAATTATGGAATTTCTTCAATATTATTGGTTAGGTTATGTTTTATGTTCAAAACACTAGAAACGATGATGCCTTTTGCCCAAAATATTAAATGTTTATTTGTTTGGTTGTCAAGTGCAAAGCTGCACAATGGGCTATCTGTACTGTGTCCATTACAAGGATCGAGCACTGAACTTTAGTTATAAACTCCCTTTAATAAGTTACCAAGGGATCAAACTATTAATAAAAGAATATTCAAAACTATTTATACTACGTAAAAATATATTTCACAATGTATCATATAAGGGAAAAATAAATACATGTAACAAAATGACATTATAGTACACAATAACACAGAAAATCGTTCTTTGTTAGATTATATGGTTTTTAAGAACTCGTTTTATATATGATCTGATAATGCTCATGGACAACAAAATCAAGTTTTGTTTTGCACAGTATTATGCAACGCTAGCACATTAGCTTCATCCATTTGACTCAATTTAGAAATAACATTTTCAAAATCTTAGCCAAGGCGAATTTAGATTAATATAAAAAACATCAAACAATTTTACATAAACAAATCTAAAATTTTCTATGCATGCAAAAAATGATAGAAAAAAAAAAAAAAAGAAGAAGAAGGATATAAGAGGCTTCGAGTGAAAAGCATCATATACTTACAGTGTCCCTTTAAAAACAATGTAAGAAAATCGTCCCAAGAACCAGTGTAGTTTCCAAGAGAAGTAGAAATCTGATGATGATGATAATAAGATACAACATTATCTTTCGGATTTCTCATCACGTATATAACCTACAAAATAGATACATGATAAATAAAAACAGGGACAACTACTCGGTAAAGTGAACTTTGTGAAACTGATGAGCTTGATTCCTTGTTATTGTAAAAATAAATCACGAAACGTAAAACAAAATCAATAAAAATATATGGAAGATCTTTTCTTTGAGTAACCGTTCAATAACTAATCTGCTAGCCTGAAAAACTATAAATGGTGGAAATGACACACATTTATTCCTTGTTTTATAAAGACGAAATATTTGCTATGAAAATATGTAATTTTTTCCATTATATAGGCTAAAGTAATTGTCAATATAAAGAATTGAAATAACATCTAATATTTTTACAACTATCACTGCTATACACTAACTAGCAAAATAGGCGTACCTTACATTGCGCTTCCCGTAACTGTTTCGGAATTAGATCAAGGGGAAGATGGGTGGCCATCAAACGAGGTGATCTAAGTTTTCGTAGAAAGCGAAGATGACCAATCGGTCTTCCCACTTCCAAATGATGCACACGAAAAATCAGTAACTTTTTTTGTACTTTCTTTGTATCCCCACCGTTATAAATAAGAGAGATAATTTCTTCCGTCCATGTCGTGCCTGTTAAGAGGACATAGTTTACTGTTTGATCATTTGACAGATACAGTATAGATGACCAACTTGGTTGTGTGCTGGCCAAAATGATAAGCTAATAGAAAACTAACTCTAAATATCAAGTTTATGGCCAGCATGAGTTAAAAAAAAAAACTGACTACAAACAACCACATACAGCTTTTACTTCAAGTGTGTTTTACATCAGCTCAAAGCTGGCTAGCCATTCTTTACAAATTACATGGTTGCTACTAAAACTTACTAGTTAGAATGAATATCAAATATTTTTTATAAAGGACAGATTTCTTTTTCAGCATGTTAAGAAAACAACTGATGGTTAAACAGGAGTCGTTAACGTAAAAATAAAAATGTTTTTTCAAAATTACATGTTTTTTGTGGATTGCAATGAAACACTTATTTAGTCATTTTGCGATTATAAAAAGTATTGAAAAATTACACAGAAAACGTTAATTTTCATTAAAAAGTTCTTATTGTAAATACTTACAAATAATTTACTTTTTGTCACAATTTTAGAAACAAGTCACTTGCGTAGAATTTCCAGAGATTTGACTCAGTGCGGAATGAGAGGAAAACAGTAACACACTAGTTGATAACAAATAGACCAGACGTGGCCAAGTGGTTAACGTGCCGAACTGCTGATCGGAATATTATTTATGGCTCGAGACTTACGTTCATGACCAGGTGGTTAGGGTGCTCTACTCGCAATCTCAGGGTCTCAGGTTCGAATCCCCGTCCCACCAAACATGCTTGTCCTTTCAGCCGTGGGGACGTTAAAATGGGACGGTCAATCCAACTATTTGTTGGTAAAAGAGTAGCCTAAGAGTTAGCGTTGGGTGGTGATGACTAGCTGCCTTCTCTCTAGTTTTTCACTGTTAAATTAGGGACGGCTAGCACAGACAGTTCTCGTGTAGCTTTGCGCGAATTTCAAAACAACCCAAACTAAATCTAAAAGTGGCGTCTAGCAAATATTTTCGATAGTTCTTATGCAATTCGAATGTGCTGATTCCGAAGCTAGATCATGCCACTTTGACATCTTTGAGCGTTTCGAGATGTTCAAGATAGCTGCCAAAACACACATTTCACTATATCTTTTCTTCGACCTGAAATATCACAATCAACTACGTATCTACACTTAACTTTTTGAGTGCCATGATTTACATTTACTATCATTTTGTTCCTGAAATGATCATCAATTCAATATGGCGACCAAGGTAGCCAAGAAATCGGATTTTAAGCCCTTGTGGTTAAACATTTTTTGCATAAAATTGATGCTTTTTCTATGATTAATTACACAGCTTGCGACTGTTATATTATCTTGAAATTTTTACATGTTTTTCAGTAATTCCTGTACGCTGAATCCGAAAATGATATCCATTTTTCTTCATCACGTACAGATTTTTCACAAAACGTTATATGTACTTTTACATAAGTGAATCGTTTTTATTGAAATCGGGTCACATTTTGTTATGCTTAAAATGTTGACAACCACTGGCAAAAGATTTCTCTAGACCAATCGCGACGTGAAAGTCTTACCGATCGTTCTAGAACCAACGAGAAACACTGCTGGTGTATAAACGATTAACAGGCCGCATGACGTGTCATTTCTGGATAATATTTGTTTGTGCATGCATTTTGACATTATTCAATATTATTTATTCGTCGCTATGGCAACAAGAGGTTGCGTACATTACCCAACCATATTCTGTTATATTTGTGGTAAATTTGTTTTAAAGAAACAAAGGCAAAAGATTACAGAATTCGTCAAAACATATTATGCGTGTTTTGGAATTTATACTTGGGGACCAAGACAAATCATAGGTTCCGTACAAAGTTTGCACCGTTTGTGTCAAAGAGTTGTCTTTTGGAATTCCAGTGGTCTGACTCTTGATACAGTTTCATCTGTTTCTGATGTCAATAGAAATGGTGATAGGGATTGTTTTTAACCTGAAACGTCTGGTGAACCACAACGTTTCACACAAGGCGAACTTAATGATTTGGTGAGAGAATTGGTCCTTCCAAAGAATTCTTCAGAAATTTTGGGGCCCAGACTTCGGGCTAACAACTTTCTTTCTCAAGGGACATCATTTTACTGGTACAGAAATCGTCAGAAAGAGTTTATACCATAATTCTCGCAAGAAGGATCATTGGTTTATTGCAACAATATTGCTGAATTAATACTAATGATAGGAGTTGCAGTCTGTAAACTAAATGAGTGGCGATTGTTCATTGATTCCTGCAAAAAGAAGTCTAAAAGGTGTTCCCGTTCATATATATGCATCTGTTCATATTGCTCATTCGGCTTACTTGAAGGAAACGTACGAAAATCTTGAACTTCTTAATAAGGTCAAATACAAAGAACATAGTTGGCTACTTTGTGGAGACTTAAAAGTACATTGTATGTTATTGGGTCAACAATCCGGTCATGAAATCAGCAATGGATAAAGAAACAATGTCCACGCAGAGTCAGCCTGATACCAGGATCGAAAAACATTGAACGTGAAAGTTTGGTTGATACAAAGAAAGTCCACTTCACATAAAACTGGGCTTAATGAAGCAGTTTGTAAAGGCCTTAGACAAAGATGGCGACTGTTTCAAGTATCTATGTCGGTAATTCTCAGCTCTTTCAGAAGTGAAACTTAGAGAAAAGACTTTTGTTGGGCCTCAGATTAGGAAATTGAATTCAGATGAACAGTTCGAAAGGACAACTAAGAAAGTTGAAAAAGAAGCGTGGATTGCATTTAAAGATGTTATTGACAAATGTTTAGGAAACAACTAGGACCCAAATAACGAAAATATTGTCAATAACATGATCGATAAATTCAAAGAGTTGGGTTGTAATTTGAGTTTGAAAGTTCTTTTCTTGCACTCACATATTGACTATTTCCCTGAAAATCTCGGTGCTGTTATCACAGAACAAGGAGAAAGGTTTCATTAAAACATCAGGGAAATGAAGAGGAGGTATCAGGGAAGATGGAGCATCAGTATGATGGCTGATTACTGCTGGTCATTGAAATGAGATGCTCCAGACGTAATACATAAAAGAAAGACCACAACATGTAGTTTTGAGACTAAAAGACGTACATTTCAC